AAACAATAGTCGTTCATTAAGTGAAAAGTGCCCAGCTGATAATTTTACTATAGCCTATAGCTCCCGCTAACCCTAACCCAGTCCTAACCCGACCCTAACCACGACGCATTCCGGCCATTACGACTCGGAAATTTGGGTATCCCCCGAAGAAAATGTAAACAATTGGTAATGTGGGCCAAAATTTGCAGATCTGCGACCGTTAACCAATCAAAATCGAGTGACAATTTTGGTTCAATCGTTTGAAGAAATCTGATTGGTGTATACTTGACTTTCTTTTGAAGTTTTATTTAAAATATTATTTAAAAATACATATTCACTTACTATTAGAACCCAAAAAAAAAACATAAAATGTTAATTTCGCACATCTATAAATTGGATAATTTTCGGGTCGGATTTCGGGTTGACCCGACCCGATTCGGATCACTAAACACAACTCAACAAATCAACAATATCATGCAGTTACTACCACTTCGATATCGTCTTAACATTTGCAAAAAAGAAAAATTTTTTTTGTCAAATTCATGTTCTATTTATAATTAAAATCAAGGCTCGGTGTTTAGTGGGTTATTCAATCCATTAATGACTTATCAAAAATTTTTACAGAATGTTTAGAATGTTTGAGATTTTGAAAAATAAGCATTTTTCTTTTTTACCAAATCGAATCAAATCAATATATTGCCGTGAACAGGTATGAGTGTAGTTTTGGCGTCATTTTTATGGTTATCTTTTTTTTTTTAAAGTGCATTACTTGATATTATGTCATATCACAACCAAGGTTGAATACGTAAATAAAATTTATACCGTATTTTGGCGCAGGGCATAATTTCAATTTTGGCCCAAATTAAGCTTAATTCGGGTCATTATTCTAAATAACGTTCATGAGTGTCATTACGCGAAAATGTGGTAAGGTGCTATTAAAGGTTAAATAACACAATTAAGACTTCAAAATACAATTGTAAATTATGTGCCAGTTAAAATTTGACTTGGGAGTCATAAAATTAAATTTATGTATCCAACGTTTAACTAAGTATCCGAGAAGTAACAGGTAATAAACTAGTTGCCTAAGCCCTATAAAAAAAGTTTGTTCTGTTTTTGTTAAGCTTTTGTCGGTATTGTTCAAAAAATGTTCAGTATGGAGTCATTATCGTAGTAAAGGCAGGACAAAAATCGTACATATTTTTATAATTGAAAATTTTAAAAATGTACAATTTTTGTTCTGTTTTTATACTATAATGAACAATATCGACAAAAGCTGAACAAAAGCAGACAAACTTTTTTTATAGGGAAGTTAATCGTTTTTTTAATAAATAATAACTACTTTTGTCATTATTTAGTTATTTTACCATTTGATGAAACCGCTATAGTTTAATAGAGTTGATCATATGCTTTATCTATTTATTTTGAGAACTAAAAATCAGGGTTATTTGATTTAAATCACAGCATCAATCTTATCTTCTACAAAATCTTATTAATTATGGTTGAAAATTTTACTAGGCGGGTTGAAATTACAATTTTATTTAACGTTTTCATTCTCTACCTCCAAGGGCTCCTCCTGGAGTTAAGCAAGCCAATCAGAATATCCATTTTGTTTTATGGTTTCAATAAGTTATGTGCTTGTAAGCTGTCTAATTATTTTTACCCCACTCTATTGCACTTAAACTCCATAAAGGAAACTTAAACAAAGTTATAATTTTCAATGGTCTTAGTTTCACTTTAATACATCTAATTCATTTTTAGTTGAAAGTAGAAAATGCATGATCTTATTTAATTAATAAAATTCAAACAAGTCATATAAAAGAATATTATTATTATTGAAACTAGCATAATAAGTTGGTCTGTGCTTATAATAGTTGTTTTGTATCAGTATGTTTCTAAAATTTTATTTAATAATTGGTTTGTATTTTTAATTTCTTAAACTGAAATTCTGCTTTAAATTAGCTCTTTCTGGTTGATGATGAAAGAATCGTCTTATCAGCTTAACCGTTTAATTTTTTTAAAAAAATCGACTGTTAAAACAATCACGTCATTTTAGAAAGTAATGGCTATTTTTTCTTTTATAATATAGCCAAACATATTAAATGCATTTATAATGTACAGTCAGACCTCCCTAAATGCAACCCCTCTAAATGCAACCCCTCTCTAAATGCACGATAGAAGATTAGCCCCATAATGGGACTTATAGATAAATGCACGTTCTTTATTCTGCAATTGCACGCTAATTGTCTGGCCCACTTATATAAACTCCCTCCATGAATGCAACCGCGTGATTATTAGCCAATCAAATTCATCATTTCTAGGCTACTAAAGCTATATTTATTACATGAAAATAGTAACATTATGATTTTATTAGTGTTCTCCAATTGCAACCCTCTCTAAATGCACGCTCCAGAGCTGGTCCCGACGACGTGCATTTAGGGAGGTCTGACTGTATATAGTAAATTTCTTAACAAAGCTTTGATTTCATCTAGAGATGGGCACGCGCGTGATCCGCGGGATTTTTAACATGATCCCAAATAAAATTATCCGGCCGGCATTGCCAAACTATCTGGCCTGCATTTTCTATCTAGGCAATTTCTAATTAATTTATTTATAATAAATAAGACTTATAAGAAATAACTAATTCGAACAAGAAAATTAATTTTTCAATAACAAATACTTTACTTTTTTTTTTTATTAAATGCAAAAATTAAAAAATCTACAGACTGGTAATTCTCTACCTATATCGCTACCATATTTGCCCGTAATAACGCGCAGGGGCGTTATTTTGAGTCACGGTTAAGCTTAATTCAGCCGAAATTCAAAATTACACCCTGCGCGTTATTACGGGTAAATACAGTATACTAATTTTTAATTACAATTTAATTTTAAGTAATCTTTAATTAATAAGTTAAGACAAGGTATCATAACAAAATTTGTTAAAACGCCCCAAAATGTCTAAACGTACAACGCAATCTCAGAGTATCTATCAACCATGATGAGATAATTGCTTAAAACCCATGACAGGAAAATTTGAAATGTTATGATCATAAATAAAGAGAATCTCATATACAAACTGTTTCGCATCATGAACTGATCTTCACTAATGATGGGTGACGCAACCACGTGATGCTAATTGTCACATGCTATTGCTTATAAAAATCAAAATTGATGTTGATCTTTTATAAGTAAAAGCATGTGACAATTAGCATCACTTGGTTGCGTCAACCATTAATCTTCACTCCGTCCATCGGAGCTTAAACCTATATTTTCCGCCAGCACCCAAATCGGATAGTAGCACTGAAATTAAAGCAAATTGAAAAATTTTCCGTACTACTATTACGACTACGTACGCACGTACGTACGTTACCTTGATTGATTTGTCGAATCGGATAATTTCCGTTAATTACCACTAAATAATCATCCATCATCTCTATAAATAAAATTTGTAGATCATAAATAAGCAACCATGACGGTCTAGAGCTTTCGATATTTAAACCAATAGTAGTTTGATTTGTCGATTATGAAATTTTAGATAGTGTATCATAAATAAACACCTGCGACTATGATCTTATTTATAATATGTAATCTAAATTTATGAATAAACACTTACGCTGTTGTTGCTTATTTACGATAGAATACACTTATGCAATCTAAATAGATGATTGATCCTGACTATACTGTATATTGCGTAGTTTTACTTTTTATTTTCCTAAAATAATTTATTATACAACAAATTTTATTATTTTAAGCTTTGTTTTTTATTTGTTTTTATTTTATCGCCAACATCTTGAAGGCTATTATTGTGCTGTTCCGTCTCAGAAATTCATCATGATAAGTAACTTAAACGACTGAAATGTAAATATTACTGCTAAAAAAGTATTTATTTAAAAACATTCAAAAATTTTTGCAAAGTTAGCTTTTTATATTAATAAACTATAAGGAATTGTTAATTTCAGCCCTTTCTCATTAATGTATACAAATTCCATATCGATGAAATGCTTGGACTTAACTAAATTGCATTCCGGTTTGTTGAGTAAGATTACGTAAAATTCAGGATTTTGTATTCTAATTGGAATGTTTTTCAGTTTACAATAAATATTGATATATTTAATCAGAAATTTTGAAACATTTGATATGAAGATTAAAACTATTTATAGCAAAGTAAATTCGAATCAAAGTTCTAGACTCAATCCTTTGAAGAACAATGATAAAGTACGTTCAATAAGTTTATCAATTATGTATATATAATTTATGCACAAAGGCACCATTCCTGCATATTACAAATTAATTATGTCACACCGATATTTGTGGTTCCTGGATCAATAATCGTTAAAAGAACTTAACCTAATTCAGTTAAAAAAAATTCGGTCTTCACTTAAGTGAAATTTGAGATGCTTGAGTTTAGTAGTATGATTAAGAATTGATTATCTACTGATATAAATGATAACTCAGCAACAACAATGTTAAAGTTACGCCAAACAGGTTTTAATATATACCGTAACTAGTGACGTAAACATTTCTGCATCAGGATTAATTTTAATGATACAAGATATTGGTGGATCTAAACAGATATGTATTAATAAACCTCACGAAAAGGAAATAACCAATTAGAATCTAAAGTTTGATGATCCTAATTAATTAATTAATGTAACATAAAATTTGTCAAAAGAACAAAAGGATTAAACTTTAGGGCACGACATATTAATTAAAAGTGACGTATAATAGTATATTTTATTTCCTCTATCTGTAAAATTTCTACGGTATCGCACAAAAATTTCATATTCACGCGTTATAAAAAATTTCTTAAATGTCTGTTACGTTAGGGTTGGCATTCGTATATAGAGTTAGATATATAATAAAATTTCTCAGGAAGGTTTCTTGTTAGAATATATAGGGGGTGAGGTTTTGAGACACAAGCGATTTTTTTTCAAAACGAACGTTTGTTTTGAACCTTCCTGATCGTGCTACGTTACGTTAATAGTGTGTTTTGATTGACTAACCACGAAATTTTCGTGGCGAGTAAACACAAACATAACGAATTATTAAACGTTTCCTTTTTGGAATTTGTGTTACAGTGTAAAGTTTAAGATTCCTATAAGCGGTAAATTCTTAAACTCCGGCGGCAAAAATTGAGTGACTAAATTTAAATTTCCACCATGTACAAGCATAGAACGATAAACAGACTGGTCCCCTCGCTTCATAAAAAGCTCTCGGAGTACAGTTAGAAATTTAGAATATTTTAGTATATTTTAGAATATTGTGTACATACTTGAATTACACTTCAATCTCGGTTTAGTAAATTAATTTAATTGAATTTGTATGTAGTATATGGCGTAATTTCATGTGAATATACTCGATAAAATGTTTCATTGTATAAACAGTGCAATAGCGAACGAGATACAAGTATGTTATTAGGTATATACTCGGTGTTGTTATTTACCATATATTCATTTCATTGATCAATAAAATTTTTGCTGGACGGTAGTCAATTAATCAACTTTGAACTACTTATCTATATATGAGAATCAAAACCGCGTAAATTTCTTCGTTAGGCGAGACCAATTTGATTCATTGGTTTACGTTACCCCCCCCCCCCCCCTCTCCCGCCTCCCCCCTCACTATATACGCGGAAAATTTCGGAAAGTTTTTATAATATCGCGGATCATTTCGGAGAAAAATTTATAATAAACTCCCTCCAGCCCCACTTTTTTTGTGAGTAGGATGTAACGTAAACCACTGAATTAAATTGGTCTCGCCTTATTCGCAGCTTGCATTCTTCTGATTATTTGAAAACTTTCAAGCCGATAATTTATTTTAGAATTTATTGATAACTCAACTGTTTTTATAAGATATTGGGCATAACCGACTAACACAGGTCGAAATAAGACAAATCGGGTTCAAATCGGCATCACAAAATCCTGATATGAACCCGATTTGAAACAGATATTTGGCGCAAATATCTGTTTCATATCAGGATTTTGCGATGCCGATTTGAACCCGATTTGTCTTATTTCGACCTGTGTAACATCATGAAATTTACTATGTAGTGATATGAGCTGACCCGGCCCATCGGTCGGGCGGGTCGAGAGTCGACCCATACCCATACCTTTGTGGGCCGGCCTGGTCGATGCATAGTTAAATTTTCTTTGGCAATTAACACATGAAAGAGTAAGATGAAGTGATATGTGGTGTGGTTATGTGTGATTTTTTGTTATTTTTATTTATTTATTTATTTATTATTATTATTATTATTATTATTTTGATAAATTTTTAATACTACAGTATAACCTCGATATAACGAAGCTCTAGAGCTGGAGATTTTCTTCGTTATATCAAACCTTTATTAGTAGTTTCGTTATATCGGGGCTAATTTAAGCATAAAAATTAGAAATAATCGTTATCGTTATGTCGAGGTTCGTTATATTGAGGTTATACTGTTATCCATATTTGGTGTGGGAACATTTTATTTCACATCTTTTCAATAAATCCGTTTCCCTAATTATTCAGGATCCCTGATTTCCACGGAAATGTGAATTAATTGCCCAACCTTTTTGAAAAACGGTTCTAATATGCACAAATAATTTTTCTTTCGATGTGTTATTGTACGATATGTTTTCATTATTTTTGGGACATCTGAAAAATTTTTCGATAGCCGGAATCAATAAGTTACTGACGTCGAAAGCTTATCGATTTGGCCATTAACAATATCTCAAATGTCCCAAAATATTGAAAACAGCTATAATATCTAATATTAACCGATTAATCAATTAATTATTTAAATAACTTTTTTTATTTTTTTTTTATTCGATACGGGATCTTTATTTCAGTACAACTTTCATTCAATTTAATATATTCGAAAAGGGAAGTCAAAATATAAAATGAAACTGGGAGTTTAATATCCCAAATAAAGCTCGGACCAGGCCGATGATTGTATCGGCCGGGTCTTGGCATTGGCTCGTATCGCTATTGCTCTGTTGTGAGTAAAATGATTGGCAGCGGTACGTTTCAACTAGTCATTTACTGTGATAAAATAAATTGTGGATTTAACATCTCGATACTATCATGTAATTCATAATCACAACTTACAAGTTATTATTTGCTAATTAAGATTTAATATGATTAATTAACGTAAAAACAACTAGAGAAATAGAATTTATGAATTCAAAGACTGCCGAAATTTTAAAACAATCATTTACCTAATTGAAATTTTATTACAGTCGTCCCTCCATATAGTCACCTCCCATATAATCACATCACATTCACATTTTTATTTAGGCCAAACTATAATTTAATTTATAAGAAAATTTAATTATGACATGCCTTAATTTGAATCCAGCTTAACATGGTATTTACAGTACTTGTTCTTCAAAGGTTAAAACAATAAAGCATGTTCTTATCAATTCTCTATTTTTAAAGTAATTAGTTTGTGGTTAACGTTCCTAATAACGGTTTACAAGACATGAAAATAAACTATTCCCATCAAGTTAATAAAAGTTTCGGACAAGATTTATTTGGCAACGTAACCATGTTTTATGAGGCCGGAGTAGAGCTCAGAAAAATGTAAGAAATATTGATGCCAATGCATCTCAGATAATCACGTATTCACTTGATTAAGCTGATCACAGGTTTGTCTCTGTCGCTCATGTCGCTGCAGTTGCTCCTATAATTAGAAACATTAAAGGGAATAAGCAGCATGTCTGTCGTAACTTATAATCATATTAGAAAAGTCATTAATACAATAAAATACGATGTGCTTATCGAATGAAAATCTATACAATGATAAATATTTTTTTCGATTTACTATGTAGGCAAGTTTGCTATTCTATTATCTTTTTATTTGCGCAATAAAATTTACATGTATGCATTTGTAATATAAATACAAAGTCTTCTCACAAGTATCTAAAGTCCAAATCACGATTCTATTCAATTGTAATTTTATATTAAATTGTCCAAATTTTATTATAAAAATACTGCCATACTTACATGAATTAGCTCTTAACATAATTAACCGATTTAATATTGAGTAGTGCTCAACATACCGAGCTGGTACTGTAAAAGCTCATATAAATCCCAGGTTTGTTTCATCCCACCAATTTTTAAACGCTTTAGTAGACCCAGGTCTAGTGCTCGTCCAGAGGTTACATCATGAAAAGAAAAAATTTAGAGTGCATACTAGAGGTTGGAACCGGTTTGCTGCACCAAATTTAAAACCGGTTCAACCCGATTCGAATATTTTATATTAGGATTTACAGATGTTTTCATAAATTCTGGGACAACTGATAAAAATTATTTCGGTCAAATTCGATAAGTTTTTGAATTCG